AGGAGGAGGAGGAGGAGGAGGAGGAGGAGGAGGAGGAGGAGGGGAGGAGGAGGAGGAGGAGGAGGAGGAGGAGGAAGGAGGAGGAGGAGGAGGAGGAGGAGGAGGAGGAGGAGGAGGAGGAGGAGGAGGAGGAGGAGGAGGAGGAGGAGGAGGAGGAGGAGGAGGAGGAGGAGGAGGAGGAGGAGGAGGAGGAGGCGGAGGAGGAGGAGGAGGAGGAGGAGGAGGAGGAGGAGGAGGAGGAGGAGGAGGAGGAGAGGAGGAGGAGGAGGAGGAGGAGGAGGAGGAGGAGGAGGAGGAGGAGGAGGAGGAGGAGGAGGCGGAGGAGGAGGAGGAGGAGGGGAGGAGGAGGAGGAGGAGGAGGAGGAGGAGGAGGAGGAGGAGGAGGAGGAGGAGGAGGAGGAGGAGGAGGAGGAGGAGAGGAGGAGGAGGAGGAGGAGGAGGAGGAGGAGGAGGAGGGAGGAGGAGGAGGAGGAGGAGGAGGAGGAGGCGCCCGCGACGTTTCGAGAGGGCCCGGGACAGTTCCCAGGCTGTCTACAGCGGAAGCGGCGGAATCCCCCCGCTCTGGTTGCCCCCCCCCCTTTTGGGAGTGCTGAAGCCGGCGCCTCGCTTGAGACATCCCCAGGGCCTGCTGGAGAAAGGGACGTGACACGGCCCGAAACGGGCAATCCGTTGAGGACACCCACGCAATCTGGACGCGAATCCTGGAGTGCCCCCCCTCCCCTTGCCCCCCCCCATCCCGTAGGAGCGCTGACAACAGCGCCTCGCCTGAGACATCCTCAGCATCAGCTCCGAAAGCACAGGATGTTACGGTCCAGAACGGGCAAACCGTTGGATACATCCACACAATCTGGGCGCGAATCCTGGAGTGTCCCCACTCCTGGCGCCCCCTTAGGAGCGCTGAAACCAGCGCCTCGCCTGAGACATCCTCAGAACCAGCTCCGAAAGCAGAGGATGCTACGGTCCGAAACAGGCAAGCCGTTGCAGACATCCCCACAATGTGGGCGCGACTTCTGAAGTGCTTCCCCTCCCTTGCCTCCCTCCCCTGAGGTGACCAAGTGCTCCGCCTGCTTTATCGCGGTGAGCATTGGACCATCGAAAGACACATCTTACGGCCCGTAACAAGCAAACCGCTTGAGTCATTATGAGTATGAGTGAGTCTGGGCCTGAGCATGAGAGGAGTACGAGTGCGAGTTAGTCTGAGTATGATTGATTCCGAGAGTGAGTGAGTCTGAGTGTGAGTGAGTCTGAGTGTGAGTGAGTCTGCGTGTGCTGAGTCTTGGAGTATGAGTGAACCTAAGTGCGAGTATGTCTGAGTATGAGTGAGTCAAAGTATGAGTGAGCTTGGGCGAGTGTCAGTGAGTCTGAGTGTGCGTGAGTCTGAGTATGATGAGTGAGGCTGAGTGTGGGTGAGTCTCGGTGTGATGAGTGAGGCTGAGGAGGAAGAGGAGGAAGGAGGAGTGAAGGTGATGGTGAGGGTTCTCGGAGCCGTCCAAGGTAACAACAAGACCCCCACGGTAGGAGAGGGGTCACAAAAGCACCCTGGGCGCGCCGCCGACTTTAGCGGCGCGCAGCGCTGCCGCCTCCTTCTGGCGCCCAGCTGCCCCGGGAGAGGCACGAGGCTGGCGCCGCACCGAGCGATGAGAGGGGGGGCTCCTCGGCTCGCGGGGGCGAGGCTCCTCGCGCCGAGGGGCTTCGCCTGCAGGGGGCTCAGCGCGGGGGCGGGGGAAGACAGAGAGGGACGGCGGAGGGGAGGGCCAGATATCGGAAGGGAAAGGGCGGAGGGAAGGCGGGGGGAGGGAAGGCGGAGGGAAGGCAGGGAAGGTGGAGGGAAGGCAGGGGGGCGGAGGGAAGGCGGGGGGAGCGTGGGAGCAGGAGGGCGGAGGGAAGACCAGGTATCGAAGGGGAGAGCTTCTCCCAGGGAGGGCTGCTCCCCAAGGGGGCCTCCTGGGACCCCCCCCACAACTCCCGGGTCCCCCCCGCCAAGCCCCCCCCCCCCCCTGCCCAGGACCCTCCTCCCCGCCTCCCGGCGGTGGAAGGATTCAAGGGAATGGGCTTCCCTTCGTCTCGAGCGCGACGTTGCTCTAACTCTTGGAACTTGTGACGACTTCAGTGGAAATCCATCGGGAGCGAGGCGCGAACGGAACAGCGAGGCGTCCAACGGAAAAGCCTCTCACACACGCCGACAGGGTCTGCGGATTTCCGATCGATGCATCTGCTGTATACGGAGGGGACCGCGCAGGAGCTGGAGCAGGAGCTGGGGCAGCAGGCACTGTGTCAGTGTCTTGTTCTCTCTCTCTCTCTCTATCTCCGCCCGATCGGCAGAAGGCAGCAGTGAACTGCGCTCGTCGCCTCCAGGTGCTGTGTGCCAGTTTTCTTACTGTCGGTGTTTCGCTTCTATTGCGGTGAGCAGTCCCCATACGTTGCGAATCAGGAAGAGGATGGTCAAGACCATACTCGACAGCATCTTTAAGAATCTCACCGTGAACATCAAGAACGTTAGGAGCTACTGCGTGTCTTGTGCCTCGTCCGCCTCTCCACCGCTCCTGGCCCAACTTGTCTGCATCTCTTATGTTTATGATGCTGATTGGTTTTGCTGCTGCTGCTAATGCTGGTGCATTTATTGCCCTTTAACTTGATGGGCATGCGGTTTTCGTACCCGATGGTTCCTGTAATGCGTTGTGGCTCATATCCGCATGATGCCCCCGTCCACACTATTGGCACTCCGCCTCGTTCATCACTTGCCCACGCGCGATGCCCGTTCCCCTCTGTCAGATTCATTCGAGGTGGGAGCACATGTCTGGTCCCACTACGAGCCAGCGGCCGTTTGAACAGGGGAACCAGTCGTAGAGAAGAGGCCACAAGTGGGATAACCTTCGAGCGTACGGTCGAAATTGATGGTGAGGAAGGGCGCACTTCCTAAGGGTACCCTTGCCTCCTTGCCTCTTCGGTCCATCCTGCTCGAACAGCCCTGCTCGAAAAGCTTCGACATGGGCGTCCACGGGGCTTGCATCCCTACCGTGAACCCTCAGTATCAGTTTGAACTGCATTCTCAGAGCCATTTCGCAGAATTTTGCCATTAGGACCCCTCACTCTCATGCGCGGCTGGCCGACTCCTTCAGCGACGGGCCCGCCAAGCTACTTACAGGATGCGCACCGGTTGAGGGATGTTTGAGAGACCAGGCCCTAGCACGCCTCTTGCTAGTCAGAAGCAGCGGAGATGACCTCCGACCGATCCACAACAGGCCGTCTTCCGACCAAGGAACCCACTCTGATGCTGTGCCTCGACGACAGCAGCAGGTCCGTGGTCCGTGGCAGTCCTTGGGGCTCTTCTATTAGCTGCCTCCAGTCGTGCCAAGGTCATTGCAGTCTCACGGGGGCACCACCAACACTTTCTGCTCAACCACCTGTCTAGAATTTGTCAGTGCCCATGCAGAATTGACGTGGGCTGCCATCACTTGGTGCGTGTGTGCGCGGCATTATTACGCAGCGCCTTTCGTCGCCGCCGCCGTCATTTGCCCGTCTGCACCGATGCTGCTTCGACCGGAGGGAAGCTGATTTTGCGCTTGTGAGCACGAAAGTCTGGCCATCGTGCCACGGTTCCTGGTTCCAGGAGCAGGAGGAAGAGGAGGAGGAAGAGGAGGGGGAGGAAGAGGAAGAGGAAGAGGAGGAGGAGGAGGAGGAGGAGGAGGAGGAGTAGGAGGAGGAGGGGAGGGGTGAGGAGGAGGAGGAGGAGGAGGAGGAGGAGGAGGAGGAGGGAGGAGGAGGAGCAGGAGGAGGAGGAGTAGGAGGAGGAGGAGGAGGGAGGCAGGAGGAGGAGGAGGAGGAGGAGGAGGAGGAGGAGCAGGAGGAGGAGGAGGAGGAGGAGGAGGAGGAGGAGGAGGAGGAGGAGCAGGATGAGGAGGAGGAGGGAACGTGCGTGACCGGAGGGTGGGGACGAGGCCGACGTGGAGCCGAGCGCCCCCCGCCTGACGTCGACTTCGGCCTCGGCTCGTGCGCGTGCGGGCGAGGCGAAGGGCGAAGCTGCGCGAGGACGGCGGAGATCCTGTCCTCCCCGGGGCCAAGTCGGCCAGGGGGCTTCTCCTCCCCAGGCTGCCCCGCGATGGTCCCGTGGTTGCGCCGTGGCTGGTCCTGTGGTTGCCGTGTGCTGCTGTCCCGTGGAGTGGTCCCGTGGTCGGCCGGCGGCTCCCGGCGGGCGGCCGTCCTGCGGCCATCCCCGCGGCCGGCCCGGCGAGTCGGGGCAGGCAGGGGTAGACGGGTGATAGGGTGTCGAGAATGGCCTGGTGTGGCATAGCATTGGTTTACCGCCGTGGTGGTTCCACTCGGCGTAGGCGTCATCATGGTCGGAACCGTAGTCGGCAGTGCCAGCAGAGGGAGAAGGTTTGTTACAGTGGTCGAGCGAGTCCACTGCTTGGAACACTTCGAAGGGCTTGGCTTATAGACTTCTCCAGTGACACTGCATGTATCGTCGCATTCGTTGTACGAGGCTTTGGAGAGCTAGGCGGTATAGAGTTCGTGTCGTTATGCAATTTGTAGTTCTATACCTTCGATAGAGGAGTCATCATACTCGTCAGGCTGTCATTATGACGCGAAACCAATCGCACAAAGTGTCGACATCAGTTGGTGGACATGCTGGTGCTGTCGTCCGTCATGTATGCTGTTGCTTGTGCGCATTGACATTGTAATTCGTCCGTGAGGCTCAAGCCGCTGCAGCGCTAGGTTTTGCATGCTTGAGACTGCAAGCGAACCGCAGTGGCACAGGACTTTGGGAGAGGTAGAACGGCCAGCGTCAGAACGTGATAGTGGGTGGGTGTGATTGGGACGCGACGTGACTCTGTGATGACACGACGTAGTGGAAGTCAGTGGAGCTCTCGCTCTGGAAGCGGTGGCGGGGCTTGGAGGGCGCGCCATCAGTCTTGTGCCACTCCCGCCCCCACGCCCCTCAGCTCCCCCCTCCCCCCCCCCCCCACACACACACACAACGCATGGGTATCTTTTTCCTGTCCGCGCCCTCCTCCGCTCTGCTTCTCCCTCCTGTTTCGCACATCCGCGGTTGCACGCTTCGGGAGGCAATCACAGGGGCGTCAGGCTGCCTTCGCGCTGTCGCTGTCGGGTAAAGAGGTCAGCCAGCGCGGTGTAAAGCTGTGCTGTGAAAGGTATGCGGTTGCAGCTTTGTCGTGTAAGCTATGTCGTGTAAGCTGTGGTGCAAGCTCAGCAGCACACGGGGCGCCCACGAGCGTCCACGAGGCGGCACGGGCGGCAACGTGGCGCACCTTCGGCGGACCCCCACCCAGTGCACGGGGCGCCCACGACGCGGCGCGGGGCGGCAACAGGGAAAATCCTCGGCAGACCCGTCGGATTATGTAGTGAAGGATCAGAGGTAAGGGCTTCTAAGTGCAAACGCTGTCTGGGGAAATCGCGCCCCCCTGCCTCGCACGAGGCCTCCCGCAATGATCGCACCCTCCCCGACCGCCCCGACACCCTGCCGCACCGTGTGCAGCGTGTTCGTCCCCTGGAACAGCGAGCAAGAAGCCAGAGCGAGTGGGGCGGGGCGCCCGCGGCCCGGGGCCGCCATCCTTGATATGGGGCAGGGCCAGTCCGTGCCTCGGGGCCCAGCCCCTGGAGCCGCGAGCAAAAAAACCACGACGGAAGGTCTTCGGCCGTTCTCGGCCTCTGGGGGCCCTTGGCGGGCCTCGGGACCGTCGAGGAGGACTCGGGGTGAAGCACACCGGTCCCCGGGGAGGGACTCGAGACCTCCAGGGGTCCACGGCGTGAAACATCACGCCGTCGGGGGTCGGGGAGGTAGCCGCGCGGCCAGGGCCAGGGCTCCGGGGACGGCCCGCACAGCTCCAGCTCCCCCGCCCTCTCTGCCCCCGGGCGCCGCTGGCGCGGCGGGGTCCTGTCGTTCCCGCCGGGCAGGCCCAGGCGATGACCGCGCGGGCCGCGACGATCGCCGGTATGGCCCAGGGCCTGCTGGGGCGCGGCGGCGAGGGGGGCCAGGACCTGGGGCCGACGCGGACACCTCCGCCGTCGCCCAGCGAAGCGGAGGAGGCTCCGCGGGCGGAGTGATCACGTGGAGGAGAGGCAGAGGAGAGAGCTGCAAGCTTGACAGGTCACTGCTGAGCTCTGCTGTCACACATCGCAGCCCCGCTGCCGTGCAGCACGGTGCATGGACGTTGTGCAGCGTGAGTTTGATATCCATGCGGCTCGTGGCTCTCAGTGTTGGGCCAGCTGCTCGCACAGAGGGGACGGGGCGGATGAAGGGATCTGGCTGTTTTTGGCATTCTTGGGGACCTCCTTTGGGCGCCCCAGTCGCCTCGAGGTACTGATCGCCACGCGCTCGACGAGAGCTCGCCGACTCCGTTTCCAGGAAGGATGGAGGATGGTGGATCCAGATGAGGGTGATGACGGCGATGGCGATGGCGATGGCGATGACGATGATGACGATGCTGTCGATGATGATGATGACGATGATGATGCTGATGGTGATGATGAGGATGATGATGATGGTGATGCCAATGATGATGAGGATAGTGTGATGCTGGTGATGCTGGTGACGATGATGGTGATGACGGTGGTGATGATGCCGCTGATGATGCTGATGGTATCGATGTGTATTCCGATGGTGGTGATTGAGCACGTTGATGATGACGATGACGATTATGTTTTATATGATGACGACGATGACGATGCTGATTATGATGGTGTCTCCATGCTGATGCTAATGATGAGTAAGCTGATGATGATGATGAGATGATGATGATGGTGATGCTGAGGATGAGTAAGATGAAAAACATAATGATGACCACACTAATGATTGCGATGCTGATGAGGATGTTGATGGTGCTGATCCTAGTTCTAATGATGATGGCAGTCATGCTGTTGATGAAGGCGATGATGATGCTGATGGTGGTGGTGATGATGATGATGATGAACATTTTGGTGGTGCGATGACAGTGATGATGCTGATGCTGATGACGATGATGATGATGATGATGATGATGGTGATTCTGTTCATGACGACTGCGACGACGATGATGGTGATGACGACGTTGACGACGATGGTGACCACGATGATTGTGTTGGCGATGACTGCAATGATGATGATGTTGATGATGATGATGGTGATGATGAGGATGACGCTGATGCTGATGATGATGGTGATGATGATGATGATGATCATCGTCATCATGGCGATGGACGTGATTGTGACGATGACGATAATGTAGAAGTTGACTTGCATCAGGATGGTGCCGTTTATACTAATGACGAAGACGACCATGCTTCGGCTGTTTGTTGATGATGGTGGTGACGATACCGACGGTTGTGATATGACAATGATGGTTATGTTGACGTTCATGATGTTGCTGATGATGATCATGCTTCTGCTGATGGTGGTATGTACTGACTGTAAGGATGCTGCTGTTGCTAATGCGGATGGTGATGATGATAATGATGATGATGATGATGATGATGATGATGATGATGGTGGTACTGATGATG